CTTCCGCATGCTCTTTTTATCCCACACTTGACAAAGAACAATTGAGAACTGAACTGTCTGTTATTTATTCAAGAAATGATTGCAGGACGTTGAATGGCGCATCTCTACTAAAATTTTTAATATCAAACAATCTATGAAATACGTTGAAAGAGACTAGACAATTATTAGAAAATGTGGTAACAACTAATATGACATCATCAGAGGTCGAACGATGTTTCTCAACACTAAATCGAATCAAAACGTTTCTCAGAAATTCAATGACCGAAGATCGTTTAACAGCTCTTTCCATGATATCAATTGAAAAAAGTTTACTTCCGAAATAGACAATTTTAATGGAAAAGTTATTACAAAATTTGCGAACCAAAAAGAACGTAGGATGGACTTAATTTATAAAAAATAGACTGTAAAATCGTACTATCTGTTTAAATTGTTCGCGTCATTTTCTTAAACATTTTGTATTTTTCTTGAAGAAAATAGAGTACAGTAAAATAGTGCTTGGTGTTTCTTTTTTTGTGTGGCAATCGTTCCAGCAATCCATTATTCAGCAAGCACGATAAAATCGATGGGACTTTGACTAAGAAGACAACCCCCCCGAAAGGTAAGCTTTTATGCAAAAATTGCAGAACACCCTAAAATTTTTACGACAAGCCGCCACTGTTTCGATGTTTTATAAATATCGATATTGTTACGCAGGTTTTTGGTATCACAATTTATTTCAACTGAACTTTAACAATAACAATGCAACTGATAACATTAACGTGTAACGTCTATCATAAAACTAAACTCTGACGTCAGGTCGTCGACTTATATAGCTTGCTTGACCTTCTCGAACCTTCTCGACCTATCATCTAGAATGTTCTTGACGGGTAATGACATTTCTGGGCATTTCTGGAATATTCTATCTTCTTTTACTTGTACTTTTACTTATGACGATCCCAGCACACTGTAGAGCGATGAGTAACATTTCACTTCTTTTTCTATCTGTACGTTTCCTATGATAGCCGCAGGCTACTGCAGGGTGCTGCGTAACATTTCTCCCTCCTCTCTAGTTATTCGCCCCGAATAACTTGATTACTGGGACCTGACCGGAGCCAATGGGGAGGATCTGGACCATGGTATAGGGCTATCTTTCCACTGTGAACTACGTTGGATTTACCTCCCGCTACCAGTTGAATGCGGCAGATCAGGTCGTTGATTTTCCTCCAGGACAGAGTAGGGGCCTCGCCCGTTCCGTTGCGATTTCTGATGAAGTCCTCCTCGCTGCTTGGGATTGCACCGCCATACCTTGTCGCCCCTCTCAAAATGTGTATTTGTGGCACGCCTGTCGATTCCATCTTCTGTTTTATCGGTGTGGGCTTTCAATCGTTCCCGAGCGAATCCATAGACCTTTGTCCTGCCATTGCATACATCACATCTTTTACACCAATCCGCTACATCCCGTCGGCAATTGACCCAATAAAATCTTTCTCGAACTCGTGCCAGTGTCCTTTTAGTATCAGTGTCCTCCTGAACGGCTGCTATGAAGCTCTTCTAATACATTTCTCACCTGTGACATCGGCACTATCACTTGGCGGACTACATGTACTCCATCAGGGTTCTCCCACTTCCGGTGCAATAGGCCATCGTGAAGATACAGGGAATCCCATTGGGTCCAGTAGCCTTTTATAGTTCTACTGTATTTGGCTATCTCTTGCCAAGTAGGTGTGACTTTATTTTTGAGCCATTTTCGGACAACCTTTAAGTCATTGTCTTTCTTCTGACCCTGTCTCAGACTTTTAAGGGTGATATCTTCTTCGCCGCCCTCTGGCTTGATAGTGGTTGCCTGAAGGGTAACTTTATCAACTGGTTCCTCCCGTTCTCCGAGCCCCTTACTGTACTGGCATTCTCGTTCTAAACAGGGTCGCCTGGAGAGAATGTCTGCGTTGCTATACATATGGCCTCTACGATGCTCTACTTCCTGATTATTGCTAGAAAACCGGCTCTGTGTTGGTGATTGGCTACTTCGGGACGCATAGCTGCTGTGACTATTTCTTGTTGGAAGATTGATATTTGTGACTTTCCGGAATCATTCCCTGATTCTCTATTTATAGAACGAGCTCTGCTTCTACAGGTTCATTGAAGGTGCTCGGTTCTTACGCAATTGAAGCATCTTCTGTTCTTATTTTGGCTATTTCGTTGTATATTTTGCAGGATATTTAATATTTGCGAGAGGGTAGGTTGGGGAATAGCATTAGCATTGGGGTCCTCGCTTTCCTGGGATTTAATTTCTCTCATTTTTGTGCGAGAAGATCTGGATATAAGTTTTACCGCTTCATATTCCTGGGCTGCAATCAGTTTCTCCTTCAGCGTCTTGTGATGTTTGTAGACGAAGGACTTGCTGCATTTATCGATATATTATTTCGAGATTCATATGATTCGATATATTTTTTAATTTTGCCATCCCTAGATTCAGAGGTGAAAAGATCGCCCCCAAGAAAACTGCAATATATCGTTTTCGGATAGAAAACCTGTTCATAAATTTCATAATAAGAAAATATAAATCATTTTAATAAAGAAATAAAGAAAAAATAAGCTTTTCTTGCAAGACTATCTGCAATCTCGTTACCCTTTGCCCCGTTATGTCCCGGGACCCAAGTGAGAATAATACTGAATTGTTAATAGTGCCTAATTGTATTTTAAAATATTAATCTCTCTCTGTTCCTGATTCATCTAACCAATATCAGTAATAATACTAAAATAATTTTCTTTTTTATACGAGTATAAAGGGTGGCGCGTTAATGCAATATTTTTTTATCTCTATTATTTTTAATTAATCAATTAATATAAAATTTTGTCAAAAACTATCACTTTTAGGGCACAATAACTAAAAATAGTGAAATAAAATACTGGGTTTTTCATTTTGAAAAAAAAAATTTTAGATGTTTAAAAATCGCATGAATATTAAGATAAACTTTTGAACCTTTCAGACATTTCAGTTTAATATTATCTTTGTATTTACCAACTGTTTCAACTTAACTGTTATTAACTAAGTTTTTTATAATAATTTTTGTCATGAATAATTTTTCAGTATTTCTTCACATTTTTTGCCATAAATTGAAAAAAATCAGTATTGGAACGTAACATTTTACGCTAAAATAAGTTTTAAGCTGTCCCGATGGAACGGGTAACACTCTGTAGGTATATTTCGCAGTATTTTAGAAATATGCAAAATAGTAAACCCTATAACTTTGATTTAAAACATTTTCTCGTATTTATGATTTGAGAGATATTGGACTTCCTCGCACTAATGTAATATTACAATGCCAAATAAGTTGTCACTTTTGACTTGTGGTCTTACGAACACGCCCTTTTTTATTTAAAATGGTGATTTAAATGTCTTAAAAGCAACACTTATTCAGACTATTCGTATGTCAAAAAATAAAAAAATTTTTGACTTCCCATTTAGTTTTTTTTTTCTCTCTCTCTCTCTCTTAGGTTTAAAATTAATCATCTCATCCTCGTATACATTCCAGGCACTTAACATGTTTTGTGCTATGATTCGTTGATCCGTGGTATTCCTACCTCAACTATGTTTTATCTAATTAATAAATGGCATGTACTCAATAATTTACTTGCTATATTGGAGAACCTGTTTCCAGAACTAAGTTGGCGTGTGTACTGTTTAGTAACTTGTGGGTAAACTTTTTGAATTTTTTCTTGCAATTTTATTTGCAGCAAGGAAAATTGCTGTCCGCATTACACTTCATTGCAAAAAGCTCTGCAACTTAAGTCACTAAGCAAGTTATGGAAACAGGTTCTCTAATAAACCAAAGAAAATATGGAAAACATGAATTAAATAAAACATACATCATCGATACTTTCATCTTCTATATTCCAGTTAGTTTACGCGTTTATGTAATATAAAACAAAACATATTAAATGCCAGTAATGTATAGGTACTCTAGGGATTTGTACATTAGTTGGCAACGCTTATTTATAGCAGAAGTAAAAGTTGGAAAGGCTTTTGCCAGTTCTCCCACTTTATACACATAAATTGACAGGTTTGCAGCGGATCTCACCGAAGTGGACGCGATACATTGGCGTACAAAATTATTTTATAGATGTTAATAACAATTTCGAGTAAATAGTTTAATAAATTGTGAATAGCTGTTGAAATTTTGTAAAATTATGATTTGAATATTATAATACATGTTTAATAATTATTTATAGTCCATAAATACATGCGATTGTCCGGTTCCGCCGATAACAATTTAAAATTACTTATTCTATGAAACGACACTGGCAGGTAAACATTACTGCGAAATTCTCGAAGCCGTCCGACGTGGTTTGACGTTTACCCCCTCTCTACCTACCAAAAGCCTTTCCAACTTTTACTTTCGTTATACGTCATTTTACACCAATATGCAGCTACAAAACAACTTGCGGCAATGGGGGCATTCAGATCATTTGCAGCTGGTCAGCGCTACAGCTCTTTATCGCTTGAGTTCACTGGAACAGTCAATTAGTGGTTGACGTTGAGGATAATTGATTTGACATTTCTTTGATGTTTACGTTTCATTTCTTTCATATTTCATCCTTTCATTTTATTTTTGCCTCTATTGAATTAACTTCAAAATATACAGTTTCATCATTTTTTGAACTCATATATTATCTTCATTATCCATTCTGAAATCGCTTTACTCCAACAGCAAATATGCAGCGATAAAGCCAAAAAAAAAACCCACAAAATATATACTTTACCGCTGTGATGCAGCGATACAGCGAATTAACCTGTATTTGTTCATTCTGTCAACCGATTTGATAAATCGCTGAAGCGCTGCAGTTCTCTAAATCGACCTATGCATCATTTTCAATATGTGGTTAATTTCTGCGATTGAAACAGCTGGAAAGGACGTCAGTGCGAAGACGTGTAATATGAATTTCCGCAATCTTACTCGCAAACAAGAAAAATTAAGAACTGTAAAGGATTTTAAATAATTAAATTGTAAAAAAAAACTTACGAATTGAAGAGAATTTTCTAAGATGTCCATAAATGTGGTTTAGTCTTGATGTAGAAGATAAACAATCTGTAATCAAAAACAAAATATGTTCAAATAATGAGAAATCTACTTACAGTTTCTAGGTACCAAGGTAAACTATAAGTTAAACCAATTCCAATTTAGAAATAAAAGAAAACGTGGCTATAATTGATCAGGGTTAAGAGTAAAAATCCGCTAGTTCGGCGAAGATTTTACCCGAATTTCGGGTATTCTTTCTCAACTTATAAACTGTCATAAATTGACGCCTTACTAGTTTATTCATCGAAGTTTTTAGCATTTTCCATCAGAGCCGGCTCTAGATATTTTGGCGCTCCAGGCAAAACCTTAATTTTGCGCCCCCCCCCCCCCCGTTTTTTTTAAGTAAATCTCATGCGACCATATCAGAAAGTCAAGAAAAAATTGAAAAAAAAAACGTTTTATTAAAATCTCAATCATCAGATAACAATATAAGCAATTTAGCACTTAAGGCAAAATAACAAAAATTAAAATGTAGTAATGCTAACTAAACTAATATCCCATATTATAAATAAATTTTAACTAACCAATGTAATTAAAATGCCCTTTTTCTAACTTTTCTTTCGGCAAACTCACGAACCAGTGATTTCGAGTCTAATTTGTCACTAATTTTGTATTTTGAAAAGCTTCTTTCTCCTGAAGCCACAATGACTGGCAATGTAAATAGGATTCTTAATGCTATGCTGAGGTTTGGTGCGAATTTAAGTGTAGCGATAAACTTGAGAACTTCAAGAGGGGTTTCCTTTTTTGTTTATAATGACGAAACAATGCTTATTTCATCGGCTAGTTCCAGGGCTTTGAGATCGCTTGAATTTCCATCTGATAAAACTACTTTCAAATCTTTGCAATGAGCCAGTAGCTCATTTCTGGGCATGTCTTTTAGACCAAAAATATTATACAAAAAGCTGAAATAATTACTGTATTTAGCAAATTATATCTGGTTTCCAAGGCATTTATTACTTGATCTATATATAGTGTGAAAAAAAAATTTTTATATTTTTGTTTGAGGTCTTGAACGGGTTCATCCGGTCCCTCATACAAAAAAAAAACATTCTTGTTTTGCTTCTGACACGATGACGTGGTGTGGTGGTTTCGAAATTAGCTTCCACGTCAATCTCTGAAGCAAGCTCGATTGCTTCTAAAATGATGCTTTCAAAAGCTTCTACTGTTTTTGTCTCTAGCAAATTTTGTTCTTAATTTATTAAGTTTGCCTCATTCTTCAGCAAATGGGTAAAGAATATTTTTATAGTAAATTTTCTGCAGTAAAAGCAGCGTAATAAGCAGCCACTATTGTAGGTTTGTTTTTATTTAAACTGCAACAAAGAATTAATAGGACAACATAAAAAGAATATGCATGTCTTTCCATAAAGAATCTAGGCATTCTGTTAGACTCAATTTCCATTCGCATGTACCTAAACAACCTTTTAAAAAAATCATTTTCGACTTTTAAAAAGTTATATTCCATAAGGCACAGTCTGTCTTAGAAGGTGAAAAAAATGTTATCAGAGTCCTTAGTTTTGTCTATTTTCTCATATGGTGATGTCGTCTATGGATATTTTATTGATTCTTATACACAAAACCGCATACAAAAAGTACAAAATTATTGGGCTAGATTTATTTATGCGCTTCGAAAATATGATCGAATATCTCATAAAATGTATGAACTTAAATGGTTAAAAATGAAAAATAAACGTCAATATAATTTTATTAATTTCTAGTATGTCATAAAAGGAAATAAACCAAAAACTCATAAGTTAGTTGTGAGAACAACACTGCACACTCTAAATGTCCACTCTAGAAATATTTTTCACATTCCTCATCACAATTCAGCCATGTTTCAGAAATAATTTACCTACCAATCTGTTAAAATGTATAATGAATACTTAATGAAGCAAATACATCATCCACAACATATTTTCCAAAATAAATTAAAGAATAATCTACTCTCAGCAATTTTTAATTCTTTAAACTTTACTTTTCAACTATTTTTAAATTAATACATTGTAAGTAGGTGTTATATTTTGTTTCTACTATTTTTTTAAATTTTTATTTCATATCTAGTTTTATATTACAAACTTTATTATTATTTTGAAATTTAATTAATGATAAAATCAGTTAAAATCTAATTTTCTTTATTTTATTAAAAGCGTTATGCTTCTTTTTATATTGTACTGTACTGTAAGAATAGCTGAGTTGATTTTTGCCATTAAAAAAACAACTGGTACGTACGGTCATTTAAAGTTAAAGGTAAGAACAGTAGATTCTGAGTGTTTCAGATTTTTATCTGGCAGTCAACACGTTCATTATATAACCTGAATAATGCAATTTTTGAAAATTTCAAAACGTCAAGCAAAGTTTTTTTCTGCAAAGAGTAGGCTGCTCAGGTTGACTTGTGGCTGTATTTTATCTATAATATATACACTTAATTTCTGAGGAACATAAGCTGCTAAGTCTAAGTCGATTGAAATTCACGAAAAAATTATCAAAAAACACTCATTTTCAGCACGCTGTCGTTAATCAGAGGTATTGACTGAGCAAATTATCGATACTTATACTTAAACTACTATCTTTCCCCCTCAGATTTCCGCTTTAATAATGTAGTTATCTTCAAAAAGAAAAATTTCAGAGGAAAAGTCGATAAGGCTTAAACATATCAGTCTTTATTTAAATAGGTGGAAAGGAGTGCTTATAAAAATCAAACTCGTGTAAATTTTCTTCTTTGGGACCCTTAGGAATAGTTCCTCAAAGTTACACCAAAATCTAAAATGGATCGGCAACATTTTTTTTTATTTTCAGAGGATTTGGTATGGAATGACTCTTCTATATTAAAAGATATTCTAAACATCAGTGCAGAGCGGAGTCATTATGTGCATTAGTAGGACATTAAACTACAAGACTACCCAAAATGTTTTCCATAGTCAAACATACCTAAAGCTTGCCGAAACCAATTTTAAGTTTGGCTGTTCTTAACTCAAAAACACTTACTTTTTTGACAAACAGGACAAGGGTATCTCCTTGTGATACCTTTTATCCCTCTAAATATCCTATTGTATTGTTTATTGTTTCCAGTCTGAATTGGCCGATCCAAATAGCATGGATGATCAATACTTTCATTTTTCAAAGTAGGTAAATCACAATGTGTATTCAAAGTCAAAAGTTCAGTTTCAATTTTAGGCTGCACAAATTCACAAACTTCTTGCTTGATATCACCGCCTGTATACAAATGAGTCACTTTAACATCACTGCCGTTAGATTCCTCTTTAATGTTTATAGGGACATTTTGCAAGTATTCACATTCGTGCACGTAATCAGGATGATCAATTTTTATCGGTAAATTCGAATGTTGTTCAATTTTAGTATTTTCAAATTGGATAATTTCTTGTTTTATTTCATCAACATGGGGATCGAAAGGCTCTTGTTTCGCGTCCATCGTTTTAAATGGTTTATGGATTTAATATTTTGAAAAAAAACCTCACTGCCCTTTATACTCCTTCGTAGTTACTTGCTTGGAAAATTGTTCATGGTCCTACATTTTATTTATGGCCCCATATCGAGGAAAGTAACAAAGCAAGTATGTTTTTGATCACTAACTTAAAACTATTTTTTCTATTTTTTTTATCCCCACATGCAAGCTATAAGCTATGATGCAAATCGCAAACTTAAAAACCCATCTAAAAACAAACTAGGCAATCCAAAGGTACTATGTTCCAACTCCAACAAAGGCGAAAACGATAATTAGACGAGGGCTATGGACTGAACTCATTAATTATTATTGTCTGATTCAAAAAGTCAGGTCAACTATTATTTTATCTATGGTCAACAAACTTTGTTATTTAGTCTCAAGTTTTCAGTTTTCCCAATCATCGCCAGCCACTTTTACTCATTTTAGATTTTAGTTTTATTTTTCTATGGTTTTAGGATTCTGATCTGACAGGAGACAGGACGTTAAATTCATCAAAGATGAACACTATTAAACAGGATAGACTAGTTTCTCAAATCCGTTTATAAAGTCCGCTATTGCCAAATGTCGATTTGTGACGTTGTTACAGAACCTCACAAACATTTAAATGCATTAAAAACTGGAAGTGTGCTGGTAGAATATCGCTCAGTGTTGCCAGAAGTAGCAAAATTTCGCTATGTCGTCGGATTTTAGCTATTTAAGAAGTGGATGAGACCAGGACCGGCCCCAGGGTAGGGCGATCTGGGCAATGATCTAGGGGGGCCAAAATCGTGGAAAATGAAAATAAACATAAAAAAAAATTAAGTTACTGGCTTTTATAAAATGCATTAAAAAGTAAAGAATATTTTTTTATCATTCTGATATCATATCAATAAATTATTTTTCCGCCTACCTCTATCCAAAGTATACATTTTCTGGCCTCATTGCAGGGAGCAAAGTTGTATTTTTCCTCCCTAGGGACACACACACACACACACACAGACACAGACACAGACACAGACACAGACACAGACACAGACACAGACACAGACACAGACACAGACACAGACACAGACACAGACACAGACACAGACACACACACACACACACACACACACACACACACACACACACACACACACACACACACACACACACACACACACACACACACATCATCGCGAAAATAGTCAAAACGTAAAAATCCGTCAAAAACTCGAGGTCGAAAAAAAATCATGATTCCTATACTTTCCTTATATCTGTATGCAGATAGGAAAGTAAAAAATCAAAATTCGCAAGTTGTGCAGACCTCAGAGAAACATTTACCGTCCAAAGTATCTCTTCTGACCCAGGATTATGGCCCGAAATCATGCGTGCAGCATATATATTTTTTTTGGTTAAACGTGGTCCAGCTGGACCTTTGTATAATTTTGATTTTCCTTTTGATGATCAGCATAGAAGATTCTCACCAAAACATTACAAGAAAAGGCTTAGAAATGGAGAAGAGGTTTTAAGAGAATGGATGGTATATTCCGTATTTCAAAACACTTTGTACTTTTTGCTGCACCATCTAGCTTGAGCGGGGATTTAAAGACTGGAAGCATTTAGGGGACTCTTTAGCACATCATGAAAATGCTAAAACTCATATAGATTGTTTGAAATCATGGCTTGAATTGAAGCAAAGATTGAAAATAGGTGAAACAATAGATGCAGTTTCTCAGAGACTCATTGATTCTGAGATAAATCACTGGTCTGAAGTTCTTTTACGCATTATATCAGTCGTTAAAATACTAGGTGAGAGCTCTCTAGCTTTTCGAGGAACAAGCGATAAACTGTAGGAACACAATAATGGAAACTTTTTGAAGTTAATTAAGGTCATTGGCTGAGTTTGATCCAAAAATGGGGGAACACGTTCGCAGAGTCCTCAATAAAGAAGAAATCAATGCTACATATCTAGGGAAAACTATACAAAATGAAATAATTGAATTATTGTATGACAACATAAAGCACCACATCATTGAGCAAGATCAAAGACCAAGTATTATTCCGTGATTCTTGACTGTACTCCCGATGCAAGTAAAGTAGAACAGATGACATTTGTGGTAAGATTTGTCTCTATACAGGAATCAGAGTCTGAAGTTCAAGTTAATATCAACGAACATTTTTTGGGTTTTCTACCCATTGAGAGATCAACAAGCTAAGGAATTGTTGGAGGTTTTACTAGAAGAGCTAGAAAAAAATAGGCTTAAAATAGAAAACATGCGCGGTCAAGGGTATGACAATGGTTCCAATACGAGAGGAGAAAAATATCGGGAGTACAAACAAGAATCAGAAATATAAACCCAAGAGCATTTTATGTTCCATGCAGCAGCCATTCGCTAAATTTGGTTGTAAACGATATGGCAAAATCCTCGTTTGAGGCAGCCAACTTCTTCAATATTGTTCAAAAGTTATATACATTTTTTTCTTCCTCTTACTGAAATATATGATACTTACACCCTAAAACCATTGAGTGATACGCGATGGGAAAGCCGAGTCGACTCATTAAAAGCTCTACGGTTTCACATTGGTCCAATTCACGATGCTTTGTGCAGCATATATGAAGATTCAGAAATCGAAAATATGATCAGAGACGAGGCTAGCGGATTATCAAAGAATTTGAAGCAGTTCAAATTTATATGCCCTGTTATGATCTGGTACAAAATTTTGAGTCATATTAACCCCTCAGCAAACTTTTGTAAACTGTAAATTTTAATATATGCTTAGCAAACTCTTTTTTGAAAACCTGAGATCAGATGAAGCGTTTGAAAGCATCATTTTAGGACTATTTTAAAGGAATCCGTTTAAATAATGACAGAAGTAAGTTAGTGAATACGAAAATATTTTTAAAGGCCGCCAATATTTTAACGGCCGTTGAAATATAAAGGAATTGTTACAGAATAGACCCCATAATCTTTATAAAATAATAGGAAAATCGTTAAAGTAATGTGGGTAAAACTTATTATAAAATTCGAAAAAAATAATTATTACACATGGTGTCCCAATAAAGTTCTGATTAAGAATGATTTATGTACTATAGGTTACTAGAGAAACTTATTTTCAGATATTTGGAATTTTTTCCTACAGAAATTATTATAGACGCTCTTTTAATAGTATATTATGCAACGATCATTACATGAGAGTTGCATACGCTATTTTTTCTACACCCGATAAATAATCAAAAACTATAAATATTACATTTGTATTGAACACAATAACAGTAATTACTCGTAAGTATTTCTATAAAAAAATCTACAAACTTGTAATTACTTAATGGTATTACCTCGGGGATTGGTAATACCATAGATTTTTGGGGCAAAATATTTTGTACTGCATTTGCTGCTTTCTCCGATATGTGTGGAGGAGTCGATGGTAAGTCTTCTATATCGCTGATATCAGACATTTTTATAATATAGAGGTCTATTCTGTAACTATAGTTGTTAACTGGCAACTTTCTAACCACTTTGACAAAAGTAGCTATTCTAGTATTCACTATTGTTATATTAGTCTATACAGTTATGCTACCAACCAAGTTGCTATGATCAAGGTCAGTTGTTGTATTACCACTTTGAGAAAATCAGAATTCTCTAAGTAAAATCTGTAACAACTAGTGGTTACAAAAGTTGATTCAGAGTTATTTGGAAGCAACCAAATATTCTTGATTGGTAACAACTAGTTTATAAGAAAGAAATATTATGGACCCTCGATAATAAATATTTTAATAGACCAATAAATTTATGGAAAATATATTTACTGATAGAATAATAGATAATTAGATAATAGATATATTATTTTCTCTAATAGTTTGATTTAGGAATGAAGTAAGATTTCAGCAAAAGCTATATTACTCCTTGCGATCTATGTAAGGAGGGGTGACCCTCCATGTCACAGGCCCCAATAGGCCCATTGTGCACCCTTCACAGGAATTTAAGACCTGCCTCTCAGCTCTCCAAAACGTCTGCTGGTTGATATATAACGTCACTGAGAGCTGTCTATAGGAACCACTTCTTAGATCATCAAAAGACTTGCATGTCTGCTTGCTATAAAATTGCACATTAAATTTTCCTGTCTTGATGAAAGTTTACAACTACGACATATTTATGATAAATTATATTTCACCTAACGTCCATGACCGGGAGATATAAACCTCATTGGTCCTGTCTCTCCTGACTTGAAGGTTAAGTTGTTAAAAGACTGATTACACCACACATACAACTTTATAGCAACCGTGAATACTAGAATATCTACTTGTCAAAGTTGTTATACGGTTGCTATAAAAATAATACAACTTGTAAGTGTGGTGTAGATCAGGCTTTTAACAATCAACCTTCGAGTCGGAAGTGCCAGGACGTCAAGTGAAGTGTAATTTTATCATTTGGAAATGGTTACATTTAGTTGGTGGACTGGTTTGAAATTAAAAAAAAAAAACTTAATACAGCAAAATGTATTATGCAATTTTATCTCAAGCAGATCTGCAGGCCTTCTGACGATCTGAGGGTAGTCATCCCTATAGACATCTCACCTGAAACTTGAAAGGCAGCATCTGGAGGATTCACAATGGGGCTATTGAGGCCTAACTAATGTGAGGGGAACACATCTCACATATACAGATTACAAGCATTAGGTTTTGCTGAAGTCTTACTTTATTCCTAAAACAAATCATTCCAAAAAAATATGATAAGTTCCAAGTATATTATCAATAAACATACCTCCTATTAATTTCTTGATATATTTATTATCCAAAGGTCCCTATTTCTGTCTCGGCAACTAGCTGTTATGCTTAATCACCAAGAATATTTGATTGCTTCTAAGTCACTCGAAATCCACTTTTATAACCACTTTTGTTACAGATTTTACTTTAGAGAATTCTGATTTTTTCAAAGTGGTAACATAACGACTGACCTTGGTCTAAGCCACTTTTGCTAGCTAGAACTGCACGATACAGAATAGACTTTATAATTATCGAAGTTTAGCTATCTACGAAAATTTAATACGTACTGATTTTGACAACTAAAACAATTACATAGAAACGAACCTAGGACAAACGTCAAATATGATTGAAATGATATGATGAATGATTGAAAAATTATGGGTTTCTATTGATTTAAAATCTGTATCGTTATGAAATAGTATATTACATTACGAGTGTGGAAAGTGACATTTTTCACACGAGTGGGAAATATAGTCGCACGAGGCGCAAGCCGAGTGCGACTATCACACGAGTGTGGAAAATCACTTTTCACACAAGTGATGTACAATATTTTTCCTACGACCACAAAATAATGTCATCAAAAAAATGTAAAACCAAGGTTATTATTACTATAATAATTAAAATGTATTTAAAAAAATAATCAACAATAATCGTATTTATTCAATTTTCATATTTTCTAAACAAAAAAAACTAAAAAAATAAAAAAAAAATAAAAAAAAATAAAAAAAAACAAAAAAAAAATTCT